CAAGATACAACTCTTAAATTGCCCATGTCCGTTGTTTGCTCCTTTAGCACCACAATGGAGGCAGAGGTTAATTCATGTTTAAAACRTACAAAACGTGAGTGTGCGTTGCACAAGCGCACCCTAAACTGGCTTTCAGTTTTCTTTCTTTCGTTTTTTCTTTCTTTCTTGTAAAGCGCCTGCCGCTACTGGTTGAAACATGTYAGTGCTTTGTTTTACACGAGGAAATGGGTGAAGGTTTCCTACTTCTGATTTTCTGATTAGACTAGCAATTTTATGTTTTTTTTTTCTATAGGAAAAAAATGAGCAAACACAAACAGTTGGAAGCACCAGTCTCTTATTTATTTATGAGGTACATATATATATATATATATACACACACACACACACACACACACACACAGCACAGGTACATGGATAACATAGCAGCTGCTAAGTTTGCATTTGTTTGTATCTTATTATCACAATACTGCTTTTTCTTTCCAGGTTTTTATTAGTATTTTAAGCTGTCAACACAAGTTTCCCTGGAGCAGATGTTTTCCTAACGCCGTGAGCTTGGCTGAAAAGCAACTTTGCTGGAATGCTTTAAAGGGTTAAAACCCTCTAGGGTTTGCCAGTAATTGTAATTAGTTGATTGAAGGAAATATTTCTGGCATCACCAAAGAAATAGCTGGGATCATGGATCAGAACAACAGCTTGCCACCGTATGCTCAAGGCTTAGCCTCCCCTCAGGTAAAAGTGGAAGACTTCACATGCACTTGTCATCTGAATTTCTTTGTGAAAGTGTCTCTTTCTTGGATGTTATCTCTACAGTTTTTGTGCTTGCAGATCTGAAAAAGCATAGATACAGAATAATATCAGTGTAAAACCACATGTACAAGCTGCACCATGAACGTGTRTATGCAGAGTTTTAAGAAATGTGCAAGTATATGGGATTTTCTTGAGCTGAAACATGAGTGAGTAGTTAGAAATATTAATGTGGGGAGTTGAGCATGAAACCATTTAAGTTGGACCCGTTATATAGTCTCCAGTGCACTCTGACTCTGGTGTGAATACACTTGGTGTCATGCCTAGTGGCTTCGTTCAAACAATTGCAGTTAAGAACTGTGGGCCAGGACAGAGTCTGTGTGTGTGTGTGAGGAATGCACGAGTGCTCCTGGCTGCTGGAGAGCAGTGACAGCTGGTGAGATCAGTAGAGGGAGGGTTTCATTTTAAGCAAGAACTGTGTTTTTAGGGGCTTTTTGCTTTTAGCGAATCACCGTGCCTCTGCTCTGATATGATCAAATGACCGAGGTGATTTATTCATAGRCTCCTTGAGGCAGTGAGTTTTCTCTGGCACCCCAAGCGGAGCGGGTGCTTTATTTYGTGCCGCCTTTCCCGGCAGGGCGCKATGACTCCGGGCATCCCGATCTTTAGCCCCATGATGCCGTACGGCACGGGCCTGACGCCGCAGCCCGTGCAGAGCACCAACAGCCTGTCCCTCCTGGAGGAGCAGCAGCGGCAGCAGCAGCAGCAGCAGCAGCAGCAAGCGGCGCAGCAGTCCACGTCTCAGCAGGGCGCGCAGGGCACGGCCGGCCAGGCGCCCCAGCTCTTCCACTCACAGACTCTCACCACGGCCCCCCTGCCCGGAACCACCCCGCTCTACCCCTCTCCCATGACGCCCATGACTCCCATAACTCCTGCGACGCCGGCGTCGGAGAGCTCCGGCATTGTGCCCCAGCTGCAGTGAGTGCCACGCGTCCAGGGCCGGTTTCTCCCTGCTCAGTAGCCCTCGAGGAAGCCACAGCCCTGGCAGGAGCTGGGCTCCATGCCTGTGCAGGAGGCAGGGTCCTCAGAATTCGTTAATGGCTCTCCTTTAACATATGAGTATTCTTCTTAAGCTGAGTTTCTGTTACTAAGATGGTAATTGAAGCAGCTTTTCAGTGATTTGTAAAATACCCTTTATTTAAATGCACAAGTGCAGGATGTCATATAGGTCAGAGCAGAGTTTGACCTTTAGTGCTAATTCTAGGTATTAAACTGAATACATGAGCTAACATAGCTGAAAAGAAGCTGAAAAGGTAGAGGGGAAGAAACTGTAGCAGCTAGAGCTGCAAGTGACCTTAATAATCCACACTCTGTTTTCTGGTTCTTTACCATGGCTGTGTGATTGGGGAAAACCACCAGAACTAGGGTTCTAGGGTCAATTATCAAAATATTTTCAGTGAGCTTTAGCTATAGGGAGACCCGTGTGTCAAATTAGGGAAGGCCTAAAGACAATCAGACTGCTGAATTCTGCAGTGAAAGAGTCATTCCTATTCTTTTTTCTGCTAAGGACCTTTAGGTTGTAGAGTTTTCTTAGAAAATGATTTTCCAAGGATCTTAAGTTTCCTAGAGACCATATTTGTATCACATAGCAATGGGTCTTGCTTGTCGAGTCATTCCTGTGTAGTCCTGCACCCCTCAGAATACTGACTTTCTTCCCCTTTGAAGAGCATAGCAAGGGAAATTTCAGATAATGTTAGTGCTGCCTCTTTTTTTCCCCCCTGTTCCCAGCAACACCCCCGACTGTGATGAGGATTCTCAAGAGTTTCTCTTGCCAAACGGAAGTAGGGATTTGTCTCATGAGGCACTTTCCGTAATAGCTGACAGAGCAGGAGGGATTGGCCATTGTGCTTTGGGAACAAAGGCTCTAAGAAAGGTGTACAACCTGAGCCAAAAGACTGCTCGGTGTAGCACTTGGATAAAACAAATTAGTCATGGTTAAAAGTATGGAGAAAGCCTCTATTTTTAAAATTTATCTATCTTCTTTATTAATTAATACATTTCTCTGAACTGTCTGCAGGAATATTGTGTCCACAGTTAATCTTGGTTGCAAACTYGACCTAAAAACGATTGCGCTTCGTGCCCGAAACGCTGAATATAACCCCAAGGTAAGAGAAGAATTTCATCCTCTAGCAGATATGACAAAGGCGGAGGTTTTGAGTGTCATATGCCATCATAGCTAGATTGAAAAAACATCCTCCTATGAATGCAGTTGTGTACTGGTGCTTAAAAGAGACCTTTAATAACCTTAGACTATTCTTCAAATTAATAGGAAGCAGAAAGAACATAATGTGTTAATGAAGAAGCCAACCGACAGTGTAATACGTAGGTACCGTGTTTGGATGCAGAGCTCAGCTCAGCTGCTGCTCACATCAACATGTTATCTGTGGTCACACAGTTCATACCAGCCTGGGATGCCTGATGTGATCTACCCCCTAAAAAGGGAATTTGGCTGCTGCCGGAGCCCCGGTTGTTTTGGGGCTCYCACTGCCGGGCTGCTCCCCTGGGCATCTAGTGGCTGCAGCGCAGGGCCTGGCGCTGAGACTCTGCATAATTGAATTGGCTTGCTGTGTGAAGGCTTTCGTTTTCTTTGGGTGTATGATGATTTTTTCTTGTTTTATTTAGTTTTAATAATGCAGGATCTTGCTACAGTTTATCTGAACTGAGCTCTCAAATGRTTAAAGGCCTGTGTGCAGGTGTATGTAAGAAATAATTGTACTGTACCATGAAGTTTATATCAACGTTATATAATGGAATGTGAGTGAGATTGAGTGCAGGCAAAAAAAAGTCTGTTGTGGTAATCCTTAAGTTATGGAATAGATGGCTCTGTAAAGCCTGTAGGCTGGAATGATGGACATGAAATGTTGTTTTCCACAGCAGGGGGAGAGGAGGATTATGTAATGCACGCCTGACTTGTAGTCAGTACGCTTAGCTCTTGGGAAGATGTTGCTCGAGTGTCTCACTTGAGCCAGAGCTTGACGAGCGTGTTGTTAGGTAGCCCACGTTACTGTCAGAATTATGTCAGCAGGAGAGCTGTGGGGCTGCACGATGAACTGGGCTAGGTTAAATATAACAGGCAAACAGGGCTGYGCGTGTGTATACACTCAGTTTTTAGCATCTCTCGCTTTTACTGAGTTTGAGAATACTTGTAAGTGCAGGTAGAGGTGCTTAAAATGGAAAAAAATAAAGCAAATTGGGCTGCTGCGTTTTACTGTGGTAGTTCAGGTGGATTCCTTTTCCAACGAACGTGGCTTCTGAGTGTGAGTTCCAGATGTTCTGATAGCAGTGTTCTAACGCTGCCCAGTTATTTAAGATACAGAGCAGATCATAAGGTGTTTGCGTGTACTCTTCCCTCCTGCTTCTAACAAAACAAATGCCAGGACGTGGGGAGGAAAGCTTCTCTACGTGTTCGGCTTCTCTACGTTGCAGATATTAGCATTATTTCTATGGTGCTTGTAGGGTAGTGGGAAATGAGCKTAGTAAAATAGGAATGTAATGGAAAATACCCTTCATGCCTGCCTCTACCTCTAAGTGTGTGTATTTGACGCTACCTGAAATATTCCAGCCATGGAATGGCAGTCCAGTCATGGCATGATCCATTAAGTATGTTTGGATTTAGTGTTTCTATGAAATATTCTATCAAATGCTCYTGCAAATATACAGCTTTGCAGCAGTATGTCACTAATAGTTTCAACTTTCACATTTCAGCGTTTTGCTGCTGTGATCATGAGAATAAGAGAACCTCGCACTACTGCGCTTATATTCAGCTCTGGAAAAATGGTGTGCACGGGAGCAAAAAGGTACGCACGGCCTGGTGCAGGAACGCTGCTCCAGACTGTCCTCCTGCTGTGGCCTGGAGGTTTGGGAACACTGTTGTTTGTGCTCACGCTGCCTCCCAATTCCTTAGTTTGCTGGGAGATCCAAGCCTCTGGTCCCTGTAGTYTGATCTGTTCCTAACATGATCAGCGAAGCATTTTGAAAGCCGAGCACAAGCTTAACTGCAGCGGTCAGGAGAGAAGTTCTGCTTCTTGTTCCTTTCATGTGGATTCATTCAAGAATCCAAAAGGAACAGATTATCAAGCAGAGGTTATGAGGAATGAACAGAGCCATAGTGGAAGCAGTTTCTCTCCCTGRTGACTCTTAAAAGTTTTAATTATCTTGTGCTGCTGAAAACCAGCCAGAGTTTTTCAGCTGTTTACAAAACTGAAGCAAATGGAGTTCTGCCAAAGCCAGTAAGGCCGTGCAGTTGTGATAAACGCGGCTTTGAGAGCCTCAGCTCAACAAGGCAGGGGAGTTTCACAGCTTTTCTGTAGAAACCTGCATTTCCCAGCRGTAGTTCAAGGTTGTTCTACCCCAAAGAAAAAGTTTTGTCTTATTAGAGGGACTCGGGTAGATATTCTGAGAGCGTAAAGAGTGTAAATGATGCAGTTGTACCTTACTGTATAGACATGGATCTGTGTATATGTATGTAATATAGACAGTGATTACATTCAGGGTCTCAGGATCAAAATTAGAATACAAATCAGTGTTCGTTGTTAATCTTAAATGTAAAACTTGGTTTGTTCAGAGGTGCATTGGGGAGGGTCGTATTTTAACAGAGTTAAATATTTGTRGATAATGCAGTTTGTTTCAAGTAATACTAATGGAATAAAATGGATATTCTTTTCTTTCTTCAGTGAAGAGCAGTCCAGACTGGCAGCAAGGAAGTATGCTAGAGTGGTCCAGAAATTGGGTTTTCCAGCAAAATTTTTGGATTTTAAAATTCAGAACATGGTGGGGAGCTGTGATGTGAAATTTCCCATCAGATTAGAAGGTTTGGTGCTTACCCACCAGCAGTTCAGCAGGTAAATAAGGGTTTGCTTATGTTTCATTCTTGCTGTGTACTGGGTCAGCRAGAGGCTGACATCTGTTCCGACTGTCCCCTTGGACCAGAGGGAAATCAGCATCTTTGTTTCCATCACTGCCTGGTTATGTTGCTGATGTGAACCGCTCTGTTCTTGAAGCCTGTGTCTGCCCTGTGCCATCCTGTGGTGCCGCAGGTGACAGGGACACGCACCTGCTGGCGTGTTTATGCCATCGGTGTCGCTCTCTTCTCTTGCAGCTATGAGCCAGAGTTGTTTCCTGGCTTAATCTACAGAATGATCAAGCCGAGAATTGTTCTGCTTATTTTTGTTTCTGGAAAAGTGGTTTTAACTGGTAAGTCGACAGTATCTTATTCCAGTAGATGGGATTTAGACTGCGTTGCACAGAACACACGGTGGTATTCGAAGTGTGTGTCTTGCTGGTTGCTTTCCCCTAGGGGTGGCGGTGCTGGGGAGGGGCAGCTTGTGCAGTGCTCTGCGGATGAGAACCCAGAAGGCCAAGGACGTGTTTCTGTGCTCCAAGCCCCGCTTCTCTTCCCCTCTTGCAGAGTCTCACTTAGAAAACAGTGTGAGACTCCTGTAGAGCAGGAGCCAGTCCCTGCACCCTAGTGAGCGGCACATCTCTGTGCCCGCCTCCGTGTCCAGACGTTGTTCCCAGGGCTTGTGCTCTTAAAACAACCTCCACAGGCCAAAGGCCTTTCTTTGGAAACATCCTGTGGGGCCCTGCTGCAGAGCTGGGCCTCTGCAAGAACTTCTGCATGGGAACATCACACTGGCAAGTCCTGCATTCACACCAAGATACTAGCCAAGTTGAAATAAGCACAGTGGGAAGGCTGGGAATGCATGGTTTGTACAGAGTGTGTGGACRGTGTAGCAGTTACTAAAAACAGGGACTCATATAAATGTCTGTGTGTATATATATGTAAATGCATAGGATTTACATAAAGATGCAGCATTCAGGTAAGCACTGCAAATGCTAAAATTAAGCATCTGATACTGGAGAGAGGAGTAACGTCACTCCCTTTTCTTCTAGGTGCTAAAGTCCGAGCAGAAATCTATGAAGCATTTGAAAACATCTATCCTATTTTAAAGGGATTCAGAAAGACGACGTAACGGTTTCTACGAATTCCGGCGAGATTGGGGGTACATTTTGGGAGGTATTGCGTATGGCACAGCAGTAACAGGAGATGGACTGTCACGGAGACTGAACACCAGGACTTGGACTGTGTCCCAGTTAGTGCCTATTTCCCTGGTGCTCTAGGGGAATTGAATTATTGATTACTGAGTTACTGTGAGTTGCTTTACGGGACTGTTCCTGGAGCAGCCCCTCCAAGTTTTATTTATAATATAGCTTTTAAATAGTTTTAATGTCAGTTCTATTAATAAAAAACCTTTAAGTTGGTTTTGAAAGACAAATGCAACCATGTCACTCAGTGTATAAACCACTTAAATTGCCATGTATATATGTTTTAACTTCCTCCATAAAACCGTGGTTTTTATAATTTTCAGAACTTAAGTTTTTAAATTTTTTCAATTTTAGTTTTGGGTGCCAGACACATTCCCTATTTCCAGCGTTACGCAAGATAGAATTTATTAATGAAAATGGTTCACTGTACATATATAATATATATATACTTCCTCTTCTCCCCCACCCCTTCAGCCCCACATGTACAATAAATCCTGTTTATACAAGTATGGGAACTGTCTTAATGAATTTTAAAATAGTAGAGTGAAATACATGGAACATTTTTTATGTGATCCCGATTTGTTTGTTTTTTTTTTTCAGTAGCACGTGCACGGTTGTAACTGACTTTAGGGTCATTTAGGGTAGACCTTAGCAGTGTTCCGGCTTGCTTAGCAGCAGTCACATCCTTGGCAACATCTAGCTTGAATATTTCTAGGATCTTGAAGTAAAGGAGATTACAGTACCAGGAAGTTACTGTTTGAGTACGTATGGCTTCACCTTCAGCAGAGGCATTAATGTAAGTCATAAATAGCTGTGCCTGACTGAACCGGAAGAGGGGACTTCTGCTTTGCTTCTAGGATTTCTTTAAGTTGCTACCTTTGTGTTTTACAAACTATGACAGTCTCACTATATTAAGTGTTCCTGTAGAATGTCAAAGCCCTTACGGTCAGTCAGTATGTACATAATCTTCCCTTTGATCTGTGCTGGAAGCCTAAGAGCTTGGGAACTAAAAATAAATTGCTTTTTCTTTTTCCCCGTAGTGCATTTCCAGCAATAGCAACCTTTCTGTGACTTCCACATTCTTTCACCTTTCATCTAGAACTAACTCTATGTAACCATGGTCTCTTCAGCTTACAAAATTTGTGCTTTATCCCAGACCAGATGAAGCTATGGCTGCCTTTGCACCCTCTCTATTTGCAAACCCTGCCTGAACTTAGCTCCTCCAGTTGCCTTTACTCCCCTGCAGTGACATGCACAGTAGYGACTCTGGACTATTTAATTGGTCTTTTTAATTGGTTCCATTGATCTTACCAGAAAGGTGGTGTTTAATAATTTACCTTTGGCAGGACAAGTTCAAGATATCAAAGACGATGCAGTACTTAGGTGCTGCAGTAGTTTGTGCTGTTTGAGGCAGTGAACTTGGCACTAGTGTCTGGCCCTGCTGTTGTAGGACTCCAGATGGCAGCCAATGCAGTGGCAACCAACGATTTGCCAACTTTTGSAAACTTTGCCAGGAAATTTCTGAGCCTTAAGTTGCTGGAGGCTGGTTTTCATTAAAGTCAGCTGAGCTGTAGTAGAGCTACATATGTCTGCTAACTGCACTGTGTGTTAAAGACACCATTTTGGAAATTAAGTTTTAGGATGATGAGAGCTTGTGCGGCAGGCAGCCTCTGCCTGCTCCCTGCCTGCTCACATAATGGAAACAGTCATAAARCAAGAGTGGGCCTAAGGCTTATGTAAAATCAGCGCTGGAATCACTGGTGAGCAGGAATGAGCAGCGTAAGAGAATAAAGAACTGAAGTAAATAAATATTACACTGASACCAGAAAAAGAGCTTCATCTTTTCACGTAAGTATAGCTATAGCCAGAGGAACGGTTGAGCAGGCGGCCCAGTAACTTCAATGGTGTGGTTTTATTTTTCTCATGCCTCAGSCCTAGGGCAGACCAACACCAGAGCAGCCCCTGCAGAGGAGAGCTGGTTTTAAACTCCACCACTGGGGGCAGATGATTCAGCTTGAAAACATGCTGCTACTCMTAGTAAGCAACAACAACCATGTTTTGCTTTAACAGTCCTGGTTTAACGAGCATGTTCTGCTTTAACAGTCCTGGTCTTCTTCCAGAAGAAGACTGCTAAGACTTTATTCCTGTACATGTTCCGTCTGACTTGGGGGGGACCAATAACAATCTGGATGCTTTTAAATAGCACTGAGGCACAGGGTTCAGATTTAAGTTACATACTGAAAGACGGGGCACGCTGGGTTTGTTAGCTAGGACTGCCTTACACCTCCTGAACATGAGCACTTTGACCTTACAGTAATCTGCTTTSCCTGGAAATGAATGTTTGAGCAGCACAAAGCCAGACACCAGTTTGAGTTCCAAAAGCCCAGTCACTGACAAAGGACACTTGCAGCCATCCAAGAACGTTTCATCTTTATTTAAACRTTCAGACCTGCTGTATGAGGTGATGCAAGACTGGAGGTGAACTTTACCACAGTAAAAGCATCTGCTTTCAGTAGCAGCCTAAAGTAAAATGTTCCGCTGGGGCGCAGGAGAGCAGCTGCCAAGGTCCACTATTTTTCTTTCTTTTTAAATCACTCTTACAAGATACCAGTGTCACCAGTGCAGCTACCTGTTTGCAAGCGCACGGACACACCGAAACGAGGACTGGGTGCGGGTGCTTTAGCTCAGGAGCAGGGTGGAAGTTGGATGGAGGCCGCAGAGAAGTCCTGTTTCCATATGAACTCCTCGGCGTAGCCCCCGGCCTGGCTGCAGCTCTCGGCGCACGTGTACACGRCCAGCGTTCCCCAGTCCATGCTCTCGCCCAGCCTGTCCACCTGCAGGTGGTTCAGCAGCTGGGGCATAATCTGAAGGCAAAGGCAAAGGTTTAGGGACAGGCCACAACTGACTGCCCGCTCCTGACCAGTCTCCCTTCCCCTGCCTTTGCTCAGGGTCTCTCACACCCATGTGCAAAAGGTCAAAACTTATTTAATAACCTGGCTGTTATCCATATTTGGATTCTTTCAAGTGTTGTACTCAGTGCACAAGAAATCAAAAACATGGCTCTGCTTGTTTATTTAAGGAGCAACAAGTGGCCAGAGTAAAAGCACTCATCTATTTTAAAGCACTTGCCCATGGAAATTCCGTATGGCTAAGGATTGTCAGACTGAGAAGCAAATCTCTATTGGAACACATCTCTGCAATTATTTTGTGTGTGTGTGTGTGCTTATGACTTGGAAGTGTATTCCTTGCAAGGACGCTTCTAGCATTCAAAATTCTACACCTGGATACTTCCAGCTGGGCATATTTCCAATTCACGTCTTAAAATATTTTTCCTCTTCAGAAAAAAAAAAAAAAAAAAAACCCACACAATACCAGATTCCTATTACTTACAAGATGGTCCCATAGCCACAATGGCACCGTTTTATGGATCAGACAAATTATCAGCATTAAAACCTACTTTCTATATGTGAAAGTCCTACAAGAAAGAGCAGTTACACTAGCAAGCAGTTGTTATAGTCAAGTGTAGTTATTGTGTGATGATCTCACTCTAACTATATAAGCCAGTAGCTATAAAATTAGAACGTGTCATGTTTGTACTGCACTACCTCTATAATCATTAGATGAATGTACATACCTGGAATTCAAATATCCTTTTGGCACCGCATGAGCAATTTGGGATATCTTTTTCTTCAGGAATATTTTCACTTGACACCCAGAGGGGGCCTTCTCCTCCCCTGCAGTATCTAATAATCTGAAATGGAGCAGGAATCCAGGTTCTCAAGACTATCTTTTTTCACCTTGGTATAAAATGAGTATTTACTGACATACACAAAGCTGTAGTAAGGTGTGTAGCAGGTGAACATTTYCAGACATTCACACCCTCTGTTGTTTAGTTACTATCTAAATAGTTATATAGAAACTGGGGCAYTAACAAGAAGAGGACAGCGGTGGAAATCAGCTAGTATGTGGCTCACCAGAAGCAGGTGATGAACTTCGCCCAGGTAGARACCAAGATGAAGATCTGCTTTCTGAATGTGCACCCTAATCCCCGAGCTTCCAGGTATGAGGTCTCMTACCTGGAGGCAAGGATCTCCTTCCTCACCACTCTTGTAGATCTAGACCTCTATTTTCTCTGACTGTATTTTTTAAGCCTTTGGTGGTGGCAAAAGTGAGCCTTACAAAAGCCAGACTCACACATGCCAGATGATGACACCTGTGCCAGCCTCCTCCCACAGTGGGACTAACACGGCTCTTCTCTGCAGTTCTGCTGTGGAGAAGGAAAATGCAAGAAGGTGGCAGGAGAAGAGCAGTAATTCCTCTTTCTTTTGTGAGAGACACTTCACAGTAGAGCAGATGCTGCCCTTGGCTTTAATGCCCCTGTGCTGCTCATCCTGACCAATTTCTGTCCGAGTGAGATGAGAAGATGCTAAATTCTTACTTTATCATGGATCAAGTTCTGCATCCAAACAAGAGTGGTTAAATATGCTGGCTAAAGCGTGTGGAGGATGATGCAGCATCCCCACAGCCATTTCTAACTGCAGGTATGCGAGGCAGTGAAACAGGCCACAGACGCAGGCAAATGCCATGTGAAAACATGTAAGCTTTGCTCTTCTGACCTGCTCTGGTTCCACAGCTATTCGCTCCTTAAACTTCCGGAAGATCTTGTCRTCTTCAGTCTCATGTTTTGCCATTGCTTCCAATGTCTCTTCATCTAAGGAGGCCAGTGCTCCACCTAAGCAAGAGAAAGCCCACGAGCGATTACTGGCTAACACAGCAGGGGACTGCACCCCGAGAGGACCACCCGAGCTCTGCACGTGCCGGGGCATGTTCCCACCATGGAAAGGTGGCTCCGTTGCACCCTTGCCACAACCCATTCCCGCTCGCTTCCCTGGGGAGTTCCCAGGCAGCTGTCGAGCTCCCTAGGTGCCCGCTGGGAACCCAGCAGCTTTGCCTGGAGCACCCTGCGCTCCTCCACCCCGCCTCCATGCAATGCCTCTGTGCTGGGCAGCTGGAGACGCACGGTGGGTATTTTAAGGAAAGGGCCTACACTTCAACTGCTCGACCAATGTCTTCTCAAAGCAGCTTTCCTCCAGCACAGATGTTTGCTAAATATTTTTCCCAAAGCTTAATCAGATGAAGCCGAACCCRCTCAACTCAACCTCCTGCCCCAGCAGCGACCAGGCGCAGCCTGCAAGGGCCCTGCTTCTCTCRTTTGCTGGAGCACCAGCAAGGCAGCCCCCAAGGCAGCCCCGCAGCCCCCAAGGCTGCCCCCTGACCCCCGGGCACCCCCAGTGCTGCAGGGAGCTCTGCACAGAGCTGGCCCCGGGCTCAATCTGCTCATTGCTCAACCCACGGGCAAGGCAACCCGCTGAAYCCCACGCGGGCAAGGCCAGAGCTGCAGCGCTCGCTGCCTTGCCTTGCGGGAAGAGCAAGGGTCTGGTAAACCTGGTACTGGAGGTCTCCTAGTTCTTGTGGAGAGGAGGAGTAAATAACAGAGTACCTGCAAGTAACTGCACCAAGTGAAACCTACAGCATGGCAGGAGAATTCAGCAGTACCCATCTAGAGCAGTAAGTCAATGCCAGGAAGCTACAGTCAAGGTTCTACCCACTGCTCAGCAAGTCTCTCTGCAAAAGCAATTTCTATCTCAGGGTACATACATACAAATGACTTAGCAGCACATGTACAAGCAGCTACGGCRAACAGAGAAACCCTGTTTATGGAAGCTGAATTTTGCTGGTATCACGGACGACCACAGATGAGCCTCTCATAACAGGCAGGCTACAATGAACCCTTCAAAATAACACAGTATTTTATGTTCCACAGCCACAAGGCAGGCTGCACCAGGAACGTCAGACAACATTACGTATTTCTTACTTGCACTGTCCATATCTCGGAGTTCCTCCTGTTTGCCTGGGCTCTCTGAGGCATCTGCTGCTGCTGCTTCATCCTCAGGATCGATGCTGCTGTCGGAAGGAGATTCTGGTTCCTCAGGTTCTATCAAAATTTCATACTCTGGAAATAGGAATTCATTATGTTCTGGAATTGCATCGTCCAAATCATCTGCAAAAACAAAAAACAGGTACTATTTCACAATGTCATCCTGCCTTTACAATACAGCACAGACACTACAAGAACAAAAAGGATTCACATCACCGCTAAACGAGATCTGAGCTTACAGTGAAAGGGGGCAGAATTTGTTTTGGGCACAGCAGAAAACTGCAGTAGGTGACAAGTTACCCTCAACTTTCACGCATCCACATGACAGAGAACAGAGGGAATGGAGCTAAGAGATGCATTTTAAAAAAATAAAATGCAGTTTTACAACTCTGTAGWGAGCTCACCTTCTAACTAGTATACTCAAAGAAGGCAGGCATGCAACCAGTCTTATGCCTACACCACTCCTCCTATCTTTCCTTTTAATTTGTGAGAAAAGTTTTAAAAAACACATTATTCCATAAGAATGAAAGAGTAACTAAACACTATTAGTTACTATTAGTACTACTATTAGTACTAATAAACTAATAGTAAACACTATTATCACCCACSGCGCAGCCCTTTCAGCCTCCACAGTGCCTGCTCCGCGGCGGCTGACAAATAACGGCATTAACAAGAGCCTGCCGCGGGCCGGGGCACGGGGAGCAGCCCGTGTCGCTGCGGGCGCCGCG